TTTTTTTTTTTTACGGGCCCTTTTCCAAACTGCAGAACAGATTAGAACTCCTTACCTGGAGGAGCCTGTTATCGGGGCCTCTTTGTGGGAAAGGAGATTAGTTAAAGCCTGCAAGTATTCGAAGCCCGATTGAGGCCCCAACAACCTCACGCAATCCTGTGAGCTACACTCTCCCCAGCGGGTTCAGGGTTTAGGGGTTTAAGGGTTTAGGTTTAGGGTTTTAGGTGAGGTTTTAAGGTTTAATTGAGGGTTTAGGTTTAGTGCTTGCAAGGGTTTAGATTTCTGAGGGGGCTGGGGCTTGGGGCCTGTCGGGTTTAGAGGTTCGGCCATTGAGGGTTTGGAAGATGGGGGCTCATGGGATTTCGGGTTTCTAGGCCGCTGTAGAGCTCGGTAGGTGTCAGGAGTCAGGTTTTTGTGGCTTGGACTGAGATGCAAGGATCTCGATAATTCGGCACACAGGTTGCCAAGCGTCTGCGTTGCATGCCTCCGTCCGGCTTGCAGTGCCAGCAGGAGGCCGTCCATTGAATAGATTCTGCAGGGTGAGCACTCGGACGGTAATGAGGCTGCAGCATCCTTCGCCCCGAATAGCCCAGAATCCTCAAGTATCGCCAGGCCTCAATGCCGAACCCTAAGCTCTCTAAGGGGTCCTCAGGCTGCTGATTATAAGAGGTTGGGGCGGTACAAAAACCATCAGGACTTCTTACCTATAGTCTCCATTGTAGTTCCTTTTTTTGGTTTAACCAATTATATATTAAGGGTTCTATAAGGTATCCCCAAAAAGGAACTACAATGGAGAGTATAGGTAGACCCTCAGGTACTAGTAGACAGTGATTACCAAGGCCGCAGCCCTGCGATTTTGCGCACAGTGGAGGTCCTCGGGCAGCAGAGTTTGTTTTGGGGAGCCACCAGTTGGCGATTCTTCGAACTCGGCTCACAGAAAAGGCCTGGTAGGATGAGGGTTTAGGGTTTAGGGTTTAGGGTTTAGGGGTTTAGGGTTTAGGGTTTAGGGTTTAGGGTTTAGGGTTTAGAGGGTTTTACATCGAACAATAACATAGTGTTGTCAGTGCTCTGGATTGAGACCACGACGTGTGCCAAGCGGCAAATTCATCCTCTTGGTACAGTACCCGGAAGACGCTACAACACCCTGCTGCAGGGGCCTACGTGCATAAGTACATGCAATGAGACTGTACTACCATGGTAGTACAGTCTCATTGCATGTACTTATGCACTGCACTGCGACATGTGTAGGAGTACGCCTAGTGCCTATAGTGGCATCTCAGAACCTGAACGAGACCAGCAAGACCAAACTGTCGAGGGTCATCAGTGCAGCACGAGCTGGGATGGTCGATGCCAGGTCCAAAGCCTTGCGCAAGAAACATAAACATGGAATCATGCGCAACAAGCCAGGCTTGAAAACTATGGCTTGGATTCCTGCGTACAAACCCGATAAGTAACCATCAGAGCCACTCCTGTTGTTAGTGTTCCTGGTGCTTCTCTCAGCGCCATGGCCATGATGCGTGCACATACTCTGGCTGCATACAAAGAAGGAAATGCGAAGACAGCGAGGGTGGCGACAAAACGAAAGTTCTCATGAGATCAGCCCTGCAAGCTTCGGAGAGCTTGGAGTGCATGGTGGACACCAAGCTTAAGTCTCGCACTGAGGTGTGTATATGTGTCATAGGGCTTAAAGAAATCAGGTATCTGTAAATAATATATCGCTGAGGTTGATCGGTTCATCTATGTGGTTGCTCGCGACCTAAATGCAAGTGCACTTGTGACACTGACGCACATTTATCAAGGTAGAAGCGGACCTGTCGATCGTTCAGGCTTGTCGAGCTTGTTTCGCGCCTCTAAAATGCGATTTGGGACTCTGGTGGTGATGACCGGATCGGCTTTTTCACAGTCGCTGCATGACTTGTGATCATCGTTTGTCTGAGTACTACCTCTCAATTTTGAGATGGCTGAAGCTGCCTGCAGGACCAGGCACCCTCTGAATGCATTCTGCGAGCTTGTGCTGCTTTGCAGCGAGGTGCTGGCACCGTAAGTTGAGTATCCAAAGGCTGGTAGCCGCGACCCGGTTGTCTACAGGCCGAAATAGAAAGAAGCAACTTCTAGATCTTCTACCTAAGAGAGAATTTCTTGTCACAGCTCCGGGCGAAGGGAAACCTGAGGCTTACGATACACCAAGTGTTTATGTCACAGGGAACCCACCCTGATGTTCAGATGGAGATTCGGACTGATTAGACAGGGCCCCCCATTTCGCAGTAGTCATGACGACGTAGGGTTTAGAAACGTGGTGGTGGCGTCAAGTAGGCCGAACAGGTTTTCGGGCTTGGGGGCAACTGCAAGTGCGGGTGGAGGGCTTAGCTTTGCATCTGGTGCATAAGGGGTCACGCTGTTGAGCAGCTAATTTCCGGGCCAATATGACAATGAGATTTTCTGACAATAGGGGACCGCAATATGCAATCCTGAGCAGTAGCACCCTTATTATGAGTCTCCGACAGAGGGTACTCGATTTGTAAGAACCATTCCGACCCCGCCCCCACGGCTAAGCTTCTCGACTAACTTAAACGAACCTGAGACACCGCGGAACGCCAGCAAACAGACCAGCCCGACACGGAGGCCCCCAAATAGTCGAGGAGCCTATTACTTTATGCCCGCCCCTATCAATAGCTGCGCCCACAACCTCAATGCCGGAATCGTCAAAACAACTTACACTTGGGGATTCCATCTCACGCTGGATGCCGAAAATCAGCACGGAAGCATGGTGTGCCCAGGCCGGCGTCCAAGGAGCACCGGAGCATGGATTCGGGATTCGTTTTGTCCATAGAACCACTTAGATAAAGCAAAGGAAAATGCTGCTTGAGACGATGGCTCCTGAAAGGCATCATACTGCAAGGTTCAAGTAATGTGGGGATGCTGGCGCTTTGGTTCGGCTGTTGGTGCATGAGTCCGGGCTCCAAAAAATGACGCCGGGAACGGAGCATCAAATACCCATATACATCCGATGGGAAAGCGAGCCCCTTTCAGGGGAATGAATCAACAGAGCCGTTTGCAGGGATGTCGCAGATTTTCCACCTGGTCATTTAAGGCAGGAAAACCTAAACTGAAGCTCTGAACCTTTTGATGGTTGCCCCTCTGCAGAGGCAACACCCTCAGCCCCAAGCCGTCAACACGAAGAGGGTTTTTACAAAAACCCTCATCGCAAAACCATATTGTGATTGTTGTCATTAATGTTACGAATATCGGGCACTTGACAGGTATTCCATCCTTATGTGGAGACGCAAGCACGAAGCACCCAAGACGTTGGAACACAACGCCTAAGCAAGCCACGGCTTCAGCAACCGACAGCCCTGCACCGCAAAGTACACGAACTGCTACACAAACCCTGAAGTATGCGTGAGCCCTCGAGACGGCGCCTTCTGGATCCTCAACACTAACATACTGAAGCCCCTCTCTGCAACAGCTCCAGTACTTAAGGCTTGTGAGCAACAGAGGCTCGGGACACAGGGACGGCCCTCATTTCGGGTTGAAGTCGGTCCCAGCATGTCCCAGCCGTCAGCGACATCCCTGCTGCCCCCCGGCAAAAAATCGGTTAAGCCCGGTCCAGTCTCCACCTACGGAGCAGTCCCTAAACCCTAGTCCGCAAGGAAATGCTTACCAAAGCCTCAACTGGGGTGTAAGTCATGATTCACTCAAGGCTCTGGCTTGATAGATATAGACAGGTAAAGAGCAAGATAAAGATATAGATCAAGATCACGATCTATATATATATATATATATATATATATACTTATGTATTTATTTAGACACAACACATGCATACACGCACATATATATATATATATATACATATATATACATACATACATCTGCACAGATTCCAAATAGGAACCAATACATTTCTCTAATCCCAGGTGAGCTCAAAGGACACGCGGAGACGGCTTCAGCACCGGCGACGCTGCTTTCGATGTTCGGAGCTCCTGCCTCAGGCTCCTCAGCTCAGTCTCCACGAAGGTCTGGAAGTTGCCTCTTAAGGGTATATAGGGTTTAGGGTATAGGGTTGAGGGGTTTAGGGTTTAGGGAGTTTAGTATTTTAGGGAGTTTAGGGAGTTTTGGGCTGGGATCAATAGAGTTGCGCGGCAACTCTATTGAAGGGTCAAGAGGGGCTTTGGGTCTGTAGGCGTTCAGGGGTATCCTGCTTGGGTCTTGAGGGTTTTGGGGTGTCGGGGCTGGGAGTCTTCACGAAAGCTTCGACCCAACTTTCAGGATCAGGTGTCGACCAGTGGCTAATTGCAAATCTAGACTCTAGACTGCCTTCGTACTTTTGATCTGGAGGTTTAGGCGTTGAAGTTTCTGCCGGGCGCTGCCACGCAGGCAGGCAGGATTCTGGTTCCTGTGGCCTTGATAAGGACTCAGGAACCATCTCACATCCGGATCCCTTATTGCGAACCCTATGCTGCAAAAAACACTCAGCGGTAGCAGCAGCAGTCGCAGTCGCAGTCGCAGTCGCAGTCGCAGTCGCAGTCGCAGTCGCAGTCGCAGTCGCAGTCGCAGTCGCACGTCGCGGTCGTGGTCTTGGTGGTGGTGGTGGTGATAATGGTGATGACAGCCTGTCATCCAAGGGAAAAAAAGCAGGTAACATGAATCAGAGACTGGTGTTCCACCCAACAATCCCGACAGCAAGGTGGCAGTGGGTAGTGGTAGTAGTAGTGGTAGTAGTAGTGGTGGGTGGTGGTAGTAGTAGTAATAATAATAATAGTAGTAATAATAACAATAATAAAATTGGCCCAATGTTAGCGGCAACGAAGACGACAATCACGATGACAACGACTGCTGCATAGCATTGCGCGGTCAGTAGCATACATGTCTAAGACGCGCAATTGCAGGGGTCGTCGCAATTAGGTAGGATGACTTAAAAGTTGCAAGCCCTGACTGGATAATATACGGAGAAGACGACACAAGGATGTTACAGATTCACTCTGTGACACTGTCCCAACTGCTAGGCCTTGGGTAGAGATCAACCAAGTCTGGTCATGGATCAGCCTTGGATTGCAACTCATTCGACCCGTTTTTGCGGTCTTCGCTTTGAGGCAACCCTAAACCCTAAACCCTAGACCCCTGAACCCTTGACCGTTTCAACGGCTCATGGCTTCACGTGGCAGCTTCGGAGCCTGATCTGGCGACATCTCTTCGCATCAGAAGGCTCCCAGATGTTAATCAAACCAACGCCAGGGAGTTGTAAGTACCTATAATTAGTCTCCATTATAGTTCCGTTTTGGGGTTGACTTATAGGATCCTAAGTATCCCAAATGCAACGACAATGGAGACTGTACGTAGGATGTAACCCGAGTTCAAGACGCCGAAGGAACAAGCTCGTAAGCCAATGAGTCAAAAACTGCCACCTGCGTCCCGTACGGCAAGGGTTCGAGGCATACAGGACTGAGCTGAGTACTGAACGAAGTCCGGAGCAATTCGCAGTGCAGAAATGTGGTTGCAGCATGGCGAAACGATGTTCTACATGCCCTCCTTATACCCGTCTTTGGAGTCTCTAACGTTCTGAAACGTCAAGTGCCCATGCAAGAACATCTGCAGCCGGGAAGCCGTGCAACATCCACAGAACTCGCTTGACCACGGAGGCGGAGACATCCCTCCCTGGGAAGTAGGGTCCCCAATTAGATTCCCAATATGGGTAGTTCTCTAAATTAGGTTCCTTTTGGGGTCCTTTTTATAAGGGTGCCGTACTATAATGGGGACCCAAAAAGGGACCCTAATGCCATGCCTTCCAGGCCAAGTGTCAGAAATTGCTCGAGATGGACATTTCCATCTTGATCGTGGTCCAGGAGCTTGAAGAAGGTCCACCTGGTGTGCAAGCGGCCGAAGATCAAACCCTCAGGGACATTTTAGGGCCTCTATGGGTTTTTAGGGGCTGTCAAGAGCTTACACTTAAACCCTAAACCCCTAAACCCTAAAACCTAGACCCTATACCCTAAACCTCTAGACCCTAAGCCCCTAGACCCCAAACCCCTAAACCCCTAAACCCCTAAACCCTAAACCCCTAGACCCTAAACTGTGGCTTCGGGCTTCGAAGCCAGGGCTTCTGTCCGCGGCTTAGGGTTTAGGGTTTAGGGTTTAGGGTTTAGGGTTCAGCTTGCTTTCTTACAGTCTGTCGGGCTCAGGTTCAGGGCTCAGCTCTCTTGCTTTGTGAAAGCCCCAAAGCCCAAAACGCTACGAGAACTTGGGGTTTAGGGTTTAGGGCTTGTTTCGTCATATCTATAGATGTACGAAACTAGGATTTAGGGTTTAAATATAAATAAACAAATAAATAAATAAATAAATAAATAAATATATATATATATATATGTATACATACATATGATACATTCACGCAAGCACGATGCTGCTTTCTGTTTCTGCCAATACACTCATGAAGCCCCACAAAAAACAGGCCCCATGAAGCTCTGCAAGTATTAATGTCATCCCTAAACCCTAAACCCGTTAAGGGTTCAGGGCTTAATTAGGGGTTTAGGGGTTTAGGGGTTTAGGGGTTCAGGCAAGGACCAGCGATCCTCGCCCGCACAAGTTTAACTAGGGTTTAGGGTTTAGGGTTTAGGGTTATCATAGTTGTAGATTCAAGAAAGTGAAGCTTCTACTCGCAGTATTGACTTTCTATGCCCAAAGGGTTTAACTTCTACATACACGCCCAACAAAGTTTAAACACGTTGTGCGGGAAGCTGCGTCCCCAGCTAAAGGCGTGAGACGAGCTTAGTGAATTCGCGGAATAAAGGTTAC